CCCAATGTGACATTACACCTCCTATTTCCTATTTAAATACTATTATTAATTTAAATGAATAAAATAATTCTAGTTAGGATAGGTAGGAGAAAACCTAAGGTGTTAATCATGATATTATAAAAAGCATAGTTATCAGATTTTTACCCAATTATAGTGAGTGATGGATCATGTAATAATAGATGCATGGAACATATGGGTTGCCGTCAATAGAAATCAAGCAAATCTACATATAAAAAAAATCAATACATTAACTTTCACAGCTCATATCTCGATGAATTTTAAAGCTATCTTGATGATTTAATATTCAAAAGTAAACTTACTATCTAATCTTTCTTTTGAATATTAAAGCATCAAGATAACTTTAAAATTCATCGAGATATGAGCTGTGAAAGTTGATGTATTGATTTTTTTTTAAATGTAAATTTGCTTAATTTCTATTGACGGCAGCCCATATTGTGATAACAAAATATATAGATGCTACATACTGCAGTACTGTATCTATTGCTAAGATAATATCTTTACAAAAAATTTTAAATTATCGTTATGCAAACTGCTAATCATATAATGAAGATCATACCTGTTGCACAGATCTGTATGGAGTTGACGTATAAATTCCGTTTCTTAACTCCCATTCACATACCAACCTAAAAGATGGTTTCTTCCGAGGAAAGGATAGTTTTAAACGTTGGTGGTGTAAAGGTAAATAATAAAAAAAAATTGACAATTTTTATTTATTATTTTTTATTTGGTGATCCTTAAAAATTTAAACGTATAATATTACGATCAAGACATTGATTCTATTTAATGGGGAAAAAATATAGACCACATTTTATAAAATATACGTTTAATATTGTTTCTTGATAATCCGTTCAATGATCAAAGACAATAAGCTAAAATATGAATCTTTGTTTATGGCCTTTCCCATCTTTTAGTATGAAACTTATCGCTCAACGTTGACTGCCTATCCTAATACTCTTCTTGGCGCTATGTTTCATGAAAGAAATCAAGAATTGCTTCGTCCCACCAATGGTAATGAATATTTCTTTGATCGAAACAGTCGAGCGTTCCATTACATTTTAGAATTTTATCGTACTGGAAAAATATTGCTATTGGACGAAATAACAGGTCCAAAAGA